ATCAGTGTTATATTCTGATCCATCACTACTTACAGTAAAAGAAAAACTTTATTCGCCTTGATTCTTTTCTGCATTTTTTACCCATAATTGCTGCAAAAGAACTCTTCTAATTTAGAGCACTCTTAGGCATAATTCTTATTTTGTTTGGTTTCATAGAAAAATCTTTTACTTTTGCGTAGGTCTTTCCAATCAAGAGTCTATACAAGTGGAAAACTTCCCCTTTGCACCTAAAAAATTTTGTTTATCCGATCCTCAGAAATGTACTTTTTCAATCAGGATATCGTGCTTATGTTTTCTGGAGAAATGTTGTTTGTTGAAATACACGTGAGAAATGTTAGAAGCACCTGGGTCAAAACATGAGCAAGTGTGGCGATGGAGCCGCATAAACAGGCTGCTTAGTGGTTGACGTAGCACAGTGTCGTGGCTGCTTCTGTGCACCAGCAGTCTGGCTTCTGAGTAGTTTCCTTATTTCTCGATAGGGACCTGAGATTTAAATTTCTCCAAGAGGAATATTAATGAGGCCTAACATGGAAGTCAGTTGCCCGGCTTGGCAATGACAGATACTTCCTGGCCTGGGACAGGTGATAATTAGATCAGAGTGTCTGAACAGAACAGCAGGAGACAAACTCAACAGTACGTCTGCTGGTTCCTGACATTAGCTGAGGAACAACATTTATGTTCCCGTGCATTTGGGGAAGCCTCCACACAGAAGTTGGGATACAGAAACAGGTTAAATCCTGCCTGGAGAAGTATTTTATATCTTCTCTGTGACCTTGTTTTTTTTCCCTCCCTCCTTCCTTTCCTCTTTAAATTGCCCTAAGGATGCGTCTGATTTGTGTGCCTGTTTGGCAGCACGTCACTGGCCAATATGGAACCAGGGTTTGCGAGCACATGTGGCTCATAGTATAGTAGTGTGTTGTTCTGTGGCAAAAGGGCTCCCACGTGCTCTGGTCTTTGCCACTTTTCTTTCTTTTTTTTCTTTTTTTTGAGATAGAGTCTCACTCTGTCACCCAGGCTAGAGTGCAGTGGCGGCATCATAGCTCACAGCAACCACAAACTCCTGGGCTCAAGCGATCCTCCTGGCTCAGCCTCCCAAGTAGCTAGGACTACAGGCACACGCCATCATGCCCAGCTAATTTTTAAATTTTTAGTAGAGTCGGGGTCTTGCTCTTGCTCAGCCTGGTCTCAAACTCTTGACCTTAAGTAATCTCCTGTCTGGGCCAGAGTGCTTGGATTACAGGCGTGACCTACTGTGCCTGGCCTCTTTTCTTCAAAATGTAACATGGCTACCTCTTTTATGAAAAAATTAGACAAATTGGAAGATAAGAGTGAACATCATTTATTCACTCAATAACTATTCCTTGAGCACCTCTTTGTTGTATTATAATGTCTAAATTACATCTAAATTAGGTGATGAGCTCTTTGGGAATAAGACCTGTCTTCCAGTTAACTAAATCCTCAGCATCTGCACAGGAGCCAAGACAGAGCACGTGGTTAAGTGTTTACAGAAAGAAAATCATGGAGGGGAAACTGCACCGTCCTGCCTCCTCCCCGAGCACTAGCTAAGAGCCCCAGGGTGCAGCACCCAGTGGACCGGCACCTGCCCCTCAGCACATCTTGGAGCCCTGAGCCCAGACCTCTGATCTCGTTCCCTGACAGCAGCAAAACTACCCTGTACCCACAGTATTAGCATATGCAGGATTTATGTGAGCGGCCACAAGGACAGTGTTTAAGAGCAGCAACTCAGGACCAGACTGCCCAGGTTGAAATCCTGCCTCTGTTATTTAACTGACTGTGCAGCTTGAGCAAGTTATTTAATCTCTGTGCCTCAGTTTCCTTACTTTTCAAATAGGAATAGTAATAGTACTAGTCTCATAGCATTGTTTGAAGATTAAATGAGTTGCTAACATGAAGCACAACGGTCGTTGCCTGGCACATGTAGATGTTAGCATGTGATATAAATGTTTCATTTGAGTAACAAAGTTTATGAATTTTAAAACGTACACAATGTAGAAATTTTAAAAGGATGGAATAACAGTAGAAAGTCTAATATTTTAATCCCCCACCCCATTGGTTTGTCTTGAGCACCCCATTTTGGATACCACAGTCCTGGGGAAACCAAGCAAACCACTCCCCCACCTTCTCCACCCCCCTCTGCTTATTGCATGCGACCCCCAGCGTTGACAGAACTCAAGATCACCGCATCCCTGTGTTTTTGCACCCAGGTTATTTTGTTGGGTGTTAGCTCCCTTCATTTAAACACTTGCATTCTAGCCTTCTTCTAAAATAAAGAAGAGGCTGGGATTCTTAGAGTGGAGCAGGGTCAGGTGCTGGATGACAGCGGTGGCGGCCGTCATAATTGTAACGGGGGACAGGAGAGCTCTGCAGAGGTCACGAGCCTGAGCTTCTCCCCCTCCCACCCACCAGAAGCTCGCACGGCCCCTCACAAACTGAGCAGAAGACTCCTTGTCCCACAGCGCCAGGGTTCCCAGCTGCCTCGGCAATTGTCTAGAGTGTTCTTTCTGGTCCCTGGGCTGTCAGGGTGGCAAGACATTGGGGTGAAGCGGGTATACCTCTGAAGCCTTGGGAATGAAAGCAGGATCTGGGTTACAGGTGTATCCAGGCCTGGCCCCGGATTCTGTTACTTCCTTTTTAATAAATTATCTTGTGGCTTTCAAGGGAACTTATCCTTGTAATTTGGAAAACATACCTCCTTGAAACTCATCGTGGCCATAGTTGCTGGGCGTTTGTTTACCTGTCAGCCATCGTGTGCCAAATGCCGTTCACTTTTTATATCTCATTCAGTCCTCTCAGCTACCCAGCGAAGGAAGGTCCTACCATTAACACGATTTTACAGATGCAATTAAACACAACCAGGACTCAAACCCAGGCCCCGACCATGAAGTCCGTGCTCTTCACTGCCAGTCCACTGGCCTCCTTCCTAAGCCTGCCCACCCCCGGTGCTATTGAGAATAAAACATTTACGCGAGAACTTTGTGAGGTTCGATGCCGTAATAAGCAAGGCGTAGTTACAGCGTTGCGTAGTCCCAGGCGGCATAACGGGAGCTAGTGTCATTGAGCGTTCACCACGTGCCAATGGCTTTATATGCAGCCTCTTGTTCCAGTCTCACAAACACCTGCAAGGTGGATAATTTTACCAGGTAATGAGGAAACATGGGAGTCAGAAGGCTAGGTACCTTGCAGGGTATGGAGCTCTTAGGTGGGCCAGTGGTACTTAGACCCCCAGAGCTCTGGTGTTAACCTCACCCGGACACCACCACTTCCCTGAAGCTGGAGGGACCACGAGAGATAAGGGGGCTGTGAATTTTCCCTAAATCATAAACGTAGCTGGTAGTGGAGCTGGAACTGGAAGTCAGTCCCTGGGTTTGACTTGGTCAATTGTAAGATATAAAAAAACACACAACTCTATGGTGTACTTAAATCGTAGCTTGTAGTGGATGTGCTTATCCACATTTATTCATTTGACAAACGTTTGTCAACACCTTCCTGCTCTCCAGGAAGTGGGGCGGAGTGGGCGAGGGTTGCTGCGCATGCAGAGGAAACAAGCCGGATGCAGCCTGGCCGCTGCAGTCTCCGCTCCAGTCTCCGTGCTGCTGGGTGCGCAGCGTCTGAGAGATGCCCACTGGGCACAGAGTGAGGGGCGGGGAGGGGGTGCCCAGCTCCTCTCGGTGAGCGTGGGTAGAAGCCCCAGCAGGGAACAGGAGCCGCTCTGCAGGGTGCAGGGTTAGACGCTGAGCACTTGAGGGGCAGAAAAGACCAGGGGGTGGAACTGGTTTGTCAGGGTAGGGTGAGGACTGTTGAAGGGTTTGAGCAAGGATCAGACTTGCCTTCTGGCACGTACACTTCGGCCACAGAACCGAAAGTGGGCAAGAGGGACAGGAGGCCAGGAGGAGGTTGTTGAGTCACCTAAGAGGTGACGGTGGCGTGGTGTGCAGTGTGTTTCCGCGAGTCAGGGTCGGTGCCCCAATTTACCTTTCTAGTGTTCTCAGCCATGGGACGCAGTTCTGATAGCCTCTTCCAACGTGAGTGTTGGTGAGAACTTTCCATTGTGGCCGTTACTTTTTAAGTCTCTGGGATTAACTAAAAATCCCACAGATCACCTGGGCAAATCCTCACTCTAGGACTTTCATGAAAGCAGTTTATTGAAGCATTTTATTTTGGTATCTATAAAAAAACAAAAATTGTTTTCCCTCAGTAGCTACATCATTTCCCCTTGACAGCATGTTGGCATGCCAGCGAGCGCGCCAAGTTGTGCTGATGCCATGTGTGTTCTTGCACATCTGCTCCGCGCTGAGTCGGGCTGGTGGGACCAAGGCAGACTGGCGGGGCAGACGGCAGTAGAACTGTCTTCGCGCATGTTACCTTTGCCCCCGCTTTGTGACTGACACATGCCCTGTAATGTATCCCCCGGGCTGGTTCGATGTGTACAGAACCCTCAACCCCTCGGACCAGAGCGGCAGGGTTTGGCACATGTTCTCTGCTGAAAGAGGAGGATCCCGCGAGAGGCCTCAGGGGCCAAATACCACCAAGCGAACCACGCGTGTAACATCTTTAATCTATCAGGGTAGATCTCTAGCCGCTGCAGTCTCAGGTGTACCCGAGACAGACACTGGGCAGAAAAAGTCTGGAGTGGTTTATTAACTTCAAAAAAAATGGCTTCTCTTCTCACCTCTGGAGCCCCAGGCACACGGACTGGATCTCAGGGGATCCCACCGTGGGAACGGTAGGACTTCCATATTCGCATGGGTGGATTAACTCTCAGTCCTTTCGAAAATCAACACAGGCAACAGCTTTGCAAAGTGGCACAAATTCTGCGAAAACTCACATCTGGTGACTAGAGAGTTGTTCCTGCTATAAAATGAAAGCAACCTAGGTGCCTTTTTACCCTGCAAGGGCCTGTTGACACATTCTTCTCGCCACTAAATGCTGGACTTTTGTTTTCCATCTCTTTTTTTTTTTTTATCTACAAATACATTTAGGGTGAAGAAGCTGAAGGAGACCTTTGCTTTTATTCAGCAGTTGGACAAAAACATGAGCAACCTTCGTACCTGGCTGGCTCGAATTGAGTCCGAGCTTTCCAAGCCTGTGGTTTACGACGTCTGTGACGATCAGGAGATCCAGAAGAGGCTGGCCGAGCAGCAGGTGGGATTCTGAGAAAGGAGCTCTTGTAAGAGTACGGGTGTCCACAACGTGTGCTGACTCCGGCCGTCCCCGTGTCTGCTGTGTGCTGCAGCGTGTTCGCGTTTCGTGACGCTGGTTTGCTTTTTCCAGAGAAAACTGCCACCTGTCCATGTTCTTGTATGTGTCAGGATCCATCTCGAGTGGCTCCCCGCTGAACATTTACGCAGCTTTTTGTGAATTAGTGTGAATATGAGATTTAGACCTTAATCTTGGTGGCAGCTAAGGTTTTTTAATTATGTCTTTTTTTTTTTTTTTTTTTAACTCTGATCTTTGTTGTGTTTTGTGAATATAGTTTTGGAAGACAGTAAATTGAAAGAAAAATAACTTTTCTAACCAAGAAATGTTTTCATGGGATCATACTGTGTGTCTGAGAGAGCTTCAGGAAAAATATACAAAAGGTTAATAATAAGGAACATGCTTGGACCAATAGCATAGGAAGCCTCTCAAGACCTGCGACACGCAGTGCATTTTTGTCATCAGTTATATGTGCTCTGAGCCTACCCTGGAAATTCTGCAGTTTGAAAACCACTGAGTTTTGCTGTTGTTTGTCATTGCATCAACCTGGCAGCTGCTCTTTGACATCACTGGTTTATTGAATCCACTTTCATGCCTTCCATGGGCTCATGGACATGTGCTCATTCTCATATGCAGTGGCTGGGTTTGTCTCAATTTTTTAGAAACTAGTTTAGTTTATCGTCTTCTTTCAGTAGCTTTCATTCACCTCTCTTTTTCTCAGACTTGGGGGAGGATTCTGCTTTGACCATATAAGCAGCGTGATTCTCAGACTCGCATCTGTTTTCTTCACGTTAAACTTCCACCACGCACATCCTAGCCATGTATCACAGACAGAATCGGAGGCCGAACCTTTTCCACCAGGTTCAAGGCCAGAAGGAAACCCTTTGATGATAAATTCTCTTGAGTTCAAGTCAATCTTTTTAATGGTAATAAGTGACATTTCATGCTACCATATATAGAGCTAAGTATTTGATATTACTTTTGACTTTGTTTGTTTTTGTTTTTGAGACAGTGTCTTGCTCTGTTGCCTAGTCTAGAGTACAGTGGCATCAGCATAAGTCACTGCAACCTCAAATGCCCAGCTCAAGCGATCGTCTCATCTCAGCCTCCCCAGTAGCTGGGACTACAGGCACACGCCACCATGGCCAGCTAATTTTTTAAAATTTTTGTAGAGATGGGGTCTCACTAAGTTGCCCAGGCTGGTCTTGAACTCCTGGGCTCAAGTGATCCTCCTACCTTGTCCTCCCAAAGTGTTAGGAGCACAGGTGTGGGCCACCATGCCTGGCCTACTCTAAGTGCTAGTACAATTACCATTTAAATCGTGCCTGTTCTCTGGCTTTCAAACTAGTATGATTTAGTGACGCTCCAATTTAAAAATACTGGTTTTCCTGCTTAGCCTCAGAAACGTGTCTCTTTCTCACTGAGGACATCTAGGTTCTGTCTTGGCTTTGTGGAGAAAAGAATGTTGCTATAAGTATCATGGAATGTTAATGGTCACTACAGAGATTTTAATGCCCTTCTTAGTGGAGTCACAGCTACTAAACATTATCAGCTTTATTTATAAGTTTGATCCACTAAGATGAATTTCTTTGAACAGTGTGTTCATGGACGAGGCCTTGCAAATAACTACCCAGAATGATGAGTTTTTTCAGGTAAAATTGTATGGAAACTGGTAATATCTTTTCTCTTAAAGAATGATTGGCAAAATTTGGCAAAGGCTGGTAATTGTATTACTTTTTATAAATCTAAAATGTGACAAAACATTAAGTTGCAGGGAATTCATTCCTCAAAGCAAACAATTTGGAGTAACTGCCATTCTCTTGGCCTTGGTTGTTTCAATACTGAAACGGTACATAATTTCAATCTAGTTGAAGGTTCCCTCTTTATAAAATTCAGCATCATCATGATTAAAATTTTTATCCCTTGGTTACCAAAAGAAAAAAATATTTATAGAGTTGGTGTTCAGGATTACCATTACCATAAAGAAGCCAGATGTTGCATTAGTTTCCTATAGCTGTTGTAACAAATGACCACAAACTTAGTGGCTTGAAAACACAACTTTATCATCTTATAGTTCTGGAGGTTAGAAATCTGAAACGAGTCTCACTGAGCCAAGATCCAGGAGTCGGCAGGGCCGCATTCCTTTCTGGAAGCACCGGGGGGAGAATCTGCGTTTTGCCCTTTCTGGTTTCTAGAGGCCGCCCGCATTTCTTGGCTCATGTCGCCTTCCTCAGACTTGAGAGCCATCAAAGCCATCAACGTTCATCTCTGTGTCTTTCTTCCGTAGTCTGGCTGACTCTTCTGCTTTTAAGACCCCTTGGGATTACATGGGGCCCGCCCAGATAATCCAGGATAATCTTCCTATTGTAAGGTCAGCTGATTACCAGCCTTAATCCTCCTCTGCCATGTAATCTGACATACTCACAGGTTCTATGATTTAGGATCTTGACATCTGTGGGCGGTCATTATTTTGCCTACCACAGATGTCCTGAGGAAATTTTTAATATTTTTGTTAAAAAGAATAAAAGTTACCATTTGTTTATATTATACTAAATCCAGACCTTAATAGTCCATCCAAAACACCGAAAACAGAAATATGTCATACAAAAGAAATCATGTGTGAGCCATTTTTTGAAAAAATCTTACTTGTGTTTCCTTCCCTAACTAAATATTATAAATTGCTTGACTGCTTCCAAAAATAAGATCTAAAAACATGGGATCACCTAGTACTGGCTTCTGCAAAAGCCAACGGCCCCCAAAAGTGGTTAAGAGCCATGATGTCCCTGGCTCCTCATTGTAATGTTCTTGAGGACCTGGTAGAAGAGGGGTTAGACCCTGTAAGAGTCCTTTTCGTTTTACCTTTCTTGTGCGGCACTCCTTTAAGTATAAGGTAATAAGTGTTCTTGTTAATCCTGTGGTCTAGATCTTCAAAATGCAAAGGAAGTGGTAGCAATTTTGTGACACCTTTAGATCATGTACCACTTTCATTGGGTCTTCAGTGTCTCTCCTGGTTTGTCTGGTTTTTGGTTTCTTGGTTCTCTGTAGGGATTGTGAGTTACCCTCCCCTGTGAACCAATTCAGCTTCACCCCAAACCCCCTAAACTACCTCCCAATACCACCATGTCCCAAGCCCCTCCCAAATGTTCCTCGTCTAGCACTTAAATGGTTTCCATTTTAAAATGTGGTCCACCACTTTATTTTATACTGTACAAAGTAACCAGTTCATACTACAACATCAGTAGGCTATTGTGTGCTGTTTTAGGAGGTTCTTAAAAAAAATTTTTTTTAAATGTTTGGACTTTTAACCAAGATGTTGATGGTCTTCATAAGTTATTGTAGAGTTCGTATCTTACTACCATTTACCCTGTGTATTACATCAGGTTTCTTTAGCCATTTTATTCAATATAAGCTGAATAAATAATGTAGGATAACTACAAAGAGCCCACTAAAATATAGGGCATTCTTGTTTATCCACAGACTAGACTTTCTCTGTCCTATTCAACTAGACTCTACCCAACTGGAGCCAAATGAGGTCGTGGACAATTTCCCATTAAAATTATCACTATTACTCATTTAGCACCAGTATTAGGGTTCCTGATTTATGTTTTTAATAGTTAAACAAGATATGTATCAGTACCAGTAAATTTTAGAAAAATCTCTTGACCATTCTGTGAACCAGTAAAAATTCTTAAAACTGGAATTCTATTTAAAGGTAATAACTTTAAAGCTAGTCATCATGTCAATTCCAGAGAGACTCCCGCCAGTCCGTCATTACGGGCGTTCTGCCTGCACTGCAGAGCTTAACAAAATCACCCTGCGCGTCTCTCTCCACAAGGCATGCAAGGTACCCGCGTGGAAAACACATCTCTTCTGCATATAACCCTGTAATGCTCGCCTTCACTCAGGGTCTGCGTTAGGAACTGCCTGATTTAAAATTTGCTTGGCATGTTAGCATTTTATTCCCTCATATCAACCTGGACACAGAATGATCTGAATTGTGCATTTATATAAAGAAAAGTAAGAAAATATTAGTCCTATCTAGTAATCTACAATAGTAATCTCAAATTATTCTGCTATTGAGGTGATGTGGCGTGAACCTTTACTGCCTTTCCATAGACGGTGGCAAACCGCCTGTAATTCTCTTGCAAACTGAACTTTGTTGAATCCAAGAAACTGTATTTAGTATTTGAAGTGTCAGAAATTGGTATATTATCAAGTGATTAGAATTTAGCTTTGTCTTTGCTATTTTGCAATGTAATTTGGATGCTAAAAGTAATGGTGTGGTCTCACGTCACATATCCCAGAATTTGGACATCAGGGGACACCTGATTCGTCCAGAATAGCAAAACCAACAGGCTCCTCGTCTCTCCCCATCCCCCCAGCCCACCCATGCTGTGCAGAAGAAATGTTCTCTGGTGATAACTGAAAATGTCTTGTTCATTTTTAAGGAGCTTTTCTATTTTTCCTATGACGATGCATTTTCTCTTAAATGTTTTTTTCTCCAAACTGGGAACTGCATCACTATCACTCTGGTGGAACAAGACTCCAGAGACCCTACCCCTCCCCATGCCACAAGCTTGGCTGGACCCCATCAGTAGGGGAGGCGAGGTCTCTACCCCAGAATTCCTCCCTTGGACCCGTGGAGTCCTGGGATGGTCTTGCAGAGGCCGTGGACACCTGTGTGGCAGCTTGCACAGTTTGGGTGTGTGTCAGGACAGCACAAAGGTCTTAGTAACTTCAAGAGTCCTATGACCCATAAAAGGATGAGTTTCTCTTGTTTAAGTTTTAGCTCCTCTGCTGGGCGCGGTGGCTCACGCCTATAATCCTAGCACTCTGGGAGGCCAAGACGGGAGGATTGTTTGAACTCAGGAGTTCGAGACCAGCCTGAGCAAGAGCGAGACCCCATCTCTACTAAAAATAGAAAGAAATTAATTGGACAACTAAAAATATATAGAAAAAATTAGCCGGGCATGGTGGCACATGCCTGTAGTCCCAGCCACTCGGAAGGCTGAGGCAGAAGGATCGCTTGAGCCCAGGAGTTTGAGGTTGCTGTGAGCTAGGCTGATGCCACGGCACTCTAGCCCAGGCAACAGAGTGAGACTCTGTCTCAAAATAAATAAATAAATAAATAATAAAAATAAATAAAAATAAAAAGTTTTAGCTCCTGTGAAAAAGACTCAGTTTCTAAAGAAGATGCCCCCAAACCCAAGTCTAAACTGGAGGCCTTTGGGGCTGGGTGGTAGGGAACAGATCCCATGCACGCCCAGAGCCCGTGGGGTGGTCGGCTCTCAGAGGGTCCGCAGTGCCACATGTCAGTGTACAGAGGGCACCCACCACTGTTCTACCCCTCACATAGCTCAGCACGTTAATCCCAAATGTCACCAGTGTTTAGGCTTTGGTCAGGCTATAACAGCACAAGGGTTGCACAGCGATGACAGGGATTGGGTCTGTGTTGCTGATCCTAGGGCTGTACCCCCAGGCTGGGAGGAGCTGGGGAGGGAGCAGTGGAAATCCTTTACTGCAGACCCTCCCCCCCCCCCACCACCATCTGAGGGGTTTCTTACCCTATTGTAATCGTAGGATCTGCAGCGAGATATTGAACAACACAGTGCAGGGGTGGAGTCTGTGTTTAACATCTGTGACGTCCTGTTGCACGACTCCGACGCTTGTGCAAATGAGACCGAGTGTGACTCCATCCAGCAGACCACCAGAAGCCTGGACAGACGCTGGAGGAACATCTGTGCCATGTCCATGGAGCGGCGCATGAAGTAAGAACAGGGTTGTCTTGAACATCTTCAGCGTGGTCAGCTGCGCCCTGTGCCCCTCTGACCCCAGCCACAGTAACTGTTCTCTTCGCTGCACTTAGAAATGTGCCAGGTATTGGCAGCGAGGGCCCGGTAGGTAGAACCAGTGCTTATTAAAAGATTATTCAAGAAAAACGTAATGGGCGTACAGTCTTTTCCCAGCTCTCCTGTGGCTCAGGGCGTAGCTGCGGGCTGGCCCCGTTGCCTCTGCTTACCCAGCCGCGGAGTGTGGGGTGGCACTGCCTGTCTGGGTTTTTCACCTTGTGGAGCAGTAGCCCTGGGGCGCTCGGTCCTCCAGAAGGAAGGTGCACAGACGAGAAGCAACGTCCCGGTTATTTCCCAGACGGGGTAACAGGCTCTCTCCCGCCAGCAGTGCAGGTGTCAGAGGATTGGGAACGGGACCAGTCAGGGACAAAAAGCAGCACGCGGACACAGGGTGACGTGGATGGCTTGTGTTAAGTGGCTTTCTTCCCATCAGGATCGAGGAGACGTGGCGCCTGTGGCAGAAGTTTTTAGATGACTATTCCCGCTTCGAGGACTGGCTCAAGTCGGCCGAGAGGACGGCGGCCTGCCCCCACTCCTCAGAGGTGCTGTACACGAGCGCCAAAGAGGAGCTGAAGAGGTTCGAGGTAAACAGCCCTCTCCGCCCCAGCTCTCCAGATGACACGCAAGCCTGCGCAGGCTCGGGAGCTGCTGAACCGGCTTCCTCTAAGTGGCCGGCCCCCCCGCCGCTGGCCAGGGCTGCCCAGGCCCCAGCCGGCCCCCAGCTGCTGGGCAAAGCGCGCGAAAGCCTGCTCTTCAGTTAGCATCACGACTGGTGGAGTGGGCCTCTGCTGCCATTGCACTCCAGGGATGAACCCTCTGAAGCGGGTCGCTTGGGGGCTGGAAGGGGGTGTCCTGGCCCTCTCTGCACGCCCTGGCGCTGACCGCCGTCCCCTCCCCCCGTGACGCAGGCCTTTCAGCGGCAGATCCACGAGCGGCTCACGCAGCTGGAGCTCATCAACAAGCAGTACCGGCGGCTGGCGCGGGAGAACCGCACGGACACGGCCAGCAGGCTGAAGCAGATGGTCCACGAGGGCAACCAGCGCTGGGACAACCTCCAGAGGCGGGTCACGGCCATCCTGCGGAGACTCAGAGTAACCTCCTCTACGTCGCCGGGGTTGTGTGTAGATGTGCAGTGGCAGGCTGTGACACAGAGCAGCGGGTGGGAGGCCTTCGCTATCTTAACGTTCCTCCAACAGAAAGCAACCTGAAACCGCCGACGTTCATTTTTTTAAAAGAGGGATTGGCATGTGGGGCTTCTTAGGCAGAGCCCATTTAGGTGATTTGTGTTACCAAAACACATCTCTCTTTACAATTTCTGTCACCCTGACGGTGTGCATGTGGGCACGCAGATTGCCCGTGGAGTCCGGGGCGCTGCTTCGCTGGGTCTGGGGAAGGCAACACACGGGCCTCCAGAAAGAGCCCTGCTTTGCCTGTCTGTCTGCTTTTATGGGCCCCGCTGGTTCTTGCACTGGGGGATGTGGGCAGAGCACATGAAGGCGTGAGCCCCACTCTCTGTTGGAGATTGGACAGTGCTTTATTCTCTGAGTTTCGGAGCACGCTGCCTGACCTCAGAGGTTGGGTTTGGTTTTTGCATGGAAATATTCACCTCAGATTTCTGTAATCCAGAAGATGTGCTTTGTGAACCTGTGTGAGTCCAGGTAGAAACTGAAAGGCCCGGCATAGGCAGGGACCACAGGATGTCATTTTAATCCCTGCTTCTGTTCTCGGGGCAGAATGCTCTTGAAACCAGTCTAGGGAGATGAGGATCTGGGTTTTTTTTTGTTTGTTTCAACCCTCTCAGGAAGACACTGGCCAGCTCATCTAGTAATCTAGGCAACTCCCTCGCATTGATGCTTTTTCTCCTGCTGATGTGACTCTTACTGGTCTAGCTTCATGTGGCACTGACTGCTGTTAGTACATGGACCTGAGAATCAGCTGCCCATCTATGAGGTCATAACCTGAGAGGCATCCTTCATTGGAGGCAGTAAATCTCCTCCGGGTCTTCCTTCTCTGGGGAAACATTCAGAATTACGTCAGTGAAGGCACACGGGGCTCTGGGCCAGCCTCAGCCCTGAGAATGGTGCTTTTCCATCTCGAAGGTACTAAAATCCTGTCAAGCAAAAGCTTCTGCAAAAGACTGACGGGTGAAAACAGGCAGGGGGCCTGGCCCCACCCCTCAGGAGGTTCCTCAAAGGCAGAGGGAAGTCACTGACTTAGACTAGAGGATGACAGAATTTCAAATGCTCAAAAGGACCTCAGGGGCCATAATCAACCCACACCTCCCCTCGTTTGCCAGCGTAGGTGCCGGGGCTCAGAGAAGCCGGAGGGCTCGGTTGGTATCACACAGCCGAGACCAGATCCCAGGCTCCTGAATGCAGTGTTTCTGGGGTTTCCTGGGCACCCTTTCCTTGTGGCCAAAGGTGACCTTACTGTCTCCCTGAACTCGTTCTGCAGTCGATACGAGCATGATTTTCTTCCCCTTTTGCAGCATTTCACCAACCAGAGGGAAGAGTTCGAGGGGACCCGGGAGAGCATCCTGGTGTGGCTCACAGAGATGGACCTGCAGCTAACCAACGTGGAGCACTTCTCGGAGAGCGACGCTGATGATAAGATGCGCCAACTGAACGTAAGGGCTGCCTCCTCAGCACCTCTTAAAAGAGCACACCTTTGTGGGGGAGAGCTGGCCAAGTACAAATTCCACCCGACACTCTGAGAGCAAATTCCAGAATTCTAAAGCAGACAGGCTGCATCCCACCTGCGTACTGCTGGATTATCACAAGCAAGGCCACTGTCCCTCACAGGCGAGGGGTATCTGTGTCAGTGCCGGGGCCAAGAGCAGATACCGCCTGCTCTCCTGTCGTTTCAGATACTGTATTACAGTTCAATCCCACTGTGAGTCTCTCCTTGGCAAGAGGTTGAGAAATAGAAATCTGCCTTCCCTGATAAAATGGCACTAATGAACATGATATTTGTGTCGCCGAAGCAAATGTCCACTGGTGCATATTATGGAAAATTTTCTGTTTCTACCAAGCGTCAGTAAGATAAATTGTCTCCCTCACACCCAGCAACAGTACATGTCCATCCATGTCAAACTTTTAGAATTATTTTAATTGGAAAAGTCAGTACCCAGAAGGAGGAGGAAAAAAATAGGTACAATCATTTTAAATTCTTAAATCGTCATCGTCACTCAGTTAAAAATTGGTGAGGCGAGAGTACTGGGTGAAGGAACAAAACAAGAATGACGTTTGGATGCTTTTTTCCTGTGGTCCTGTTATAAGAAACAGATGCTGTCTAGACGCTCGGGGGGAGCTTTCTTTCTTTGAAGCCCTTTCTCGTCTCAAAACAGGGCTTCCAACAGGAGATTACATTAAACACCAACAAGATTGATCAGCTCATCGTGTTTGGGGAGCAGCTGATTCAGAAGAGCGAGCCCCTGGACGCCGTGCTGATCGAAGACGAGTTGGAGGAGCTGCACCGGTATTGCCAAGAGGTGTTCGGCAGGGTCTCGCGGTTCCACCGGCGGCTGACCTCCCACCCCGCGGTAAGGGGACACCGCCTCTAAGGGCTCCTGAGCTGCTTGAAACTTATGTGTGACTGAATTTTTAAAGAATGGGGAAATTTATCTTGTAATGGTTAGATATGGCTGATTTTTTTTTTTTTTTTTTTGGTAAAAAAGCGACATTGAAAAATTTTATTTTCACATTTATTAATATAGAACCACAGTAACTTACAAGTTCCCATTACCTGGTGGAAAGGATGGCACTTCTGAAAGTTCTTGCTCCTCTTACCTGTTTTCAATGTATTTCCTTGGTACAGGGCTTTTGTGGCATGTGTCAGCGCCCCTAGAATTATTGACGACTCCTCTGGTTTTGATTATGTTAGTAACTTGGGAATGTGTTTGCCTTTCCCTCTGTCTTAGTTTCTGGAAGCTTTTAATATTTGTGCCTTTCTGGTACCTTGTTCTCACCTTTAAAATGTTAAATACACCAGTTTTCAAAAGCAACTTCAATGTTTTCCTTGACAAAAAGGACCTTCTGGTGGATTTCAGGCCATTTTTCAGTTCACTGCCTTTGTGTGCCACAAGCTTTAATGATGACCATTGACCAGCATGACTGGCCACTTTTTCTTTGTTTTTTTCTATAACTGGCCAACTTCAAATGTAGTTATTTCTTCATCAGACATAGCCCCAAAAATTACCCTATAATTCCTCATTCTTAAGTACAGCAGTGTACAGTCATTTTTCCTAGACTGAGAGGGGCGTTACATTACAGCACAAGCAGAATGCAGACACCGAAGTTAGAGTGGGGGAAAAGAAAGAACGAACCCAGTGTGTATGGTCCTTGAAGTTGTGAATCTTAATCCAGAACGTTCTAGCATTCTTTTTTAAAATACTCCGATTCATGAAGGAACCTGCCATTAACCATCAATGAAACTTTAGCCACTATTTCCTTATCTTCTTGATAAAGTTATTTAACTCAGATGATCAAACTTCAGCTTTTTTCCCTGGGAGATAAAACTGAAGTTTTTGGAAAATATGGATTCTAAGCCCCACTCCAGATTGTCTAAACTAGAATAACCAGAAACAGGACCTGGAAACCTGATTCTTTTAAAAGCTGCCTTAGAAATACTACCGATGGTCATTTTTGGAAACTGCTGGACAGTAAGTGCGATATCCTAGGATTTGGTTAATTCGAAAAACTGGATACTCCTATTTAGGGCTTGGAAGATGAAAAGGAGGCTTCTGAGAATGAAACGGACATGGAAGACCCCAGGGAGCTCCAGACCGACTCCTGGCATAAAAGCGGAGAGAGTGAGGAGCCCGCGTCGCCTCAGTCCCTCTGTCATCTGGTGCCGCCAGCACCGGGGCACGAGCGGTCTGGCTGCGAGACCCCCGTCAGCGTGGACTCCATCCCTCTGGAGTGGGATCACACAGGTGACGTGGGGGGCTCCTCCTCTCACGAAGAAGACGAGGAGGGCCCGTACTACAGTGCACTGTCAGGTAACGCCGGGTTCCCAGGGCCCTCGGAGTTGACCCGCTTGGCTGTGTTTTCAGCCCCTTAGCGACATGGCCAGCTCTCAGTGACCCAGAGTTCAGCTGGCAGCTGACCCAACCTGTGACTTCCAGTGGTCTGTCCTGCCCACCCCTGACTTACCTGGGAATAGGCTCACTCCTGTTACAGGTGGAGTGAAGGGAAAAAAGAAATGAAACTCATATTTGGATGTCGCGGCTATCCACTGAGGGCTCTGGAGTGTCAGTAGATAAAGCAGCTCCAGTCCTATGCCCCCACAACTGCTTCGACAGTCAGGAGTTGGCTGGAAAAAAATCCTAGTTTTCAAAATCCTTTTACTAAAAAGAACAAAAGGTAGTTTTCTCCTTCCAGCTGACAGTGTTGCTACTATGTTAACTTAATACTCGGGCATTAATCTGCAGGCACCTCCAAGTGAGGAAAATGACATTATTCTTTTTCAGATGTAGAAATCCCTGAAAATCCTGAGGCATATCTTAAAATGACCACAAAAACTTTGAAAGCGTCTTCTGGTAGGCCCCTGCCCATGCATGTGTCTCAACATGGCAGTACCCTGTGGCGCACACTGCATCCTAAACCCCGCTCCCATGTAATGTCTGACCTCTGCCTTCCGTGGACACCATGCGCCTTGGTCCTTGTGTCATGGTGTATTTACACTGCCGTACTCACCCATACCTGCCTGCTCCTTACAGAGCCCCACCAACAGAGCGGTCTCGACGCCACCCCTCTCCCTTCCCCCAGGCCTGTGCAAAAGGGAATTTTTCATGGTGCCTTATTTTATTACTATTTTTCCTCCATCTAACCGGAGTTCTTTGGCATGGGCCAAGCTTTCTTCGTGGTGGCTTGGTTTGGAACTATTTCCTTGCTTAGGGTGATCTGGGAAGAGGGTGGGTGGGGGTAGAGGTGCTATTGCATTCGCTGCAGGAGAAGAAACTTTCCTTTCCGGTTGTGACCTTTAGCCTCTGCCCCGTTCCCCGCTGCAGTGGGGGTGGGGAGAGCCACAGCAGCCCTGTGGTTCCCAAGTCCATCCTGATGTTCACTGGTACCCTCACTCCTGGGAGGCCCCCAGACCCAGTCTTGCCGCCCAACATCCCCACCACTTGAGACCCCGGCTCCAAACGCCACTTATCCCACAGCAAATCATGTTTGTCGTGCTCCATTGTGAACCCATCTAGTGAAGGCACAATGTCACTCAGTTGCATGACTCATTTCATTCCCTTCTGGGACGTACTGACATTTTGCAAACATGCATGCTTTGCAAGGAAAGCTGCAGAACTCATTTTTATACCGTGACCTGATGCCATGTTACCCGTAACTTTTTTTGTGTCACTAAACATGAGTCCTTTGGTTGGAGAGAATGGACTTGTCACTCACTATTTTTTGTTTCAGGTAAATCCATTTCTGATGGCCACTCGTGGCATGTTCCTGACAGCCCTTCCTGTCCCAAGCATCACTACAAACAAATGGAAGGTGACAGGGATGGACCACCCATCCCCTCAGATTCCAGCACCCCTTATAAACCACCCTATGTAAGTCTTGACTCCACTGGGAGTATAACCCAAGTGTGTGAACAGTAGTAAAAATGTATATAACGGAGAGATTTTTTTTTTTTTTTTTTTAGACAGAGTCTCACTGTGTTGCCTGGGCTAGAGTGCCGTGGCATCATCTTAGCAACCTCAAACTCCTGGGCTCAAGCGATCCTCCTGCCTCAGCCTCCTGAGTAGCTGGGACTACAGGCATGCGCCACCATGCCCAGCTAGTTTTTTCTATATATTTTTAGTTGTCCAATTAATTTCTCTCTATTTTTAGTAGAGACGGGGTCTCGCTCTTGCTCAGGCTGGTCTCGAACTCCTGAGCTCAAACAATCCGCCCGCCTCGGCCTCCCAGAGAGCTAGGATTACAGGCGTGAGCCACCGCGCCCGGCAGTAACGGAGAGATTTTGGTGTAAACTGTTTATGCTCACTCCCTGGGCACATTTTGAGTTGGTTTGTCATGGTGACAATATCTCTGCTGAGCTGTCCGTAGTTCATTAGAACCCTGGCAAAAGTGACTAGATTTAGAGATAGGTTCCTGGCCGAAAACCATCTTCGTGTGTGCTGAGGTGACATGACAGTGCTCATTACTGTTGCGTCAGTTGTCCGTGCACGCAGTGAGGAAGCAAATGCCGGCTTTCCTGAACTGCTCCTGAGCCCCCACGCCTTTGTCGTATTTACCTTTTGACCACCCATCTATTTAAAAAATCATGACTTCATGTTCAGAGGGCATGGTGTGCTGCAGAGGGACCCAGGTTCGATTCCTAGCCTTGCCAGTACAGTGCCATGGGCCTTAAGCCCCTGGCCTTGCCTCTGGAAGCCTTTCCTGCCTGAGGATAAACCCACCTTACCTAATTGTTGTTAGGATCGATGTGTATAAAGGCAAAAGGAGGTCCTCAGAAGTGGTGGTCATTATTATTATCACTCCTGTATGGGTTTGTTGCTGTTGATAGCAGTGACTGTTCCTCCTTAGTTACGTTTTCCTCAGGCGGCATGAGTTCTTGGCGTGCTCTGGCTAGGCAGCTACTGGGGGCAGCCTAGGGTTTACTGTTGACCACAGATCATTTTCAGCACAGAAAATTAACTACAAGAGAGTTGAAATGAAGGAGAGAATATTGCTATGTAATTGGAGATGGTTCTTCCTTTACATTGTCAGATGTGAGTCATTTGGTAATGGGCTGTCCACACCTGATTCAGAAACTCTTCCTCTCGCTTAGCAAGCAGCTGTCATTTTCAGTCTGTCCCTTTGTGGTGTGGAATAATGAGACTGGGGGGAAGAAACCCCTGTACCCGCCCTTTGCTCTCCATCCTCAGCACGTGGAGTTTGGCTTCTCCCAGCCATTACGGTCTTGCTCCTCACCTGGCTGGTTTCAAAACCTCAACCCTTTTATTGTGTCTAAAACCAGGCATGTCACCACAAATCTGCAGGGTTTTTTTGTTTTTTGTTTTTTTAACACAAATAGACCATGTGGACACAATCCAAAGAAAGCATGGCTTTTCTAAAAGGGATACATTTATTTTTGGAAAAGCCTGAGATAATAGCCTAATCAGCCCCGTGATAACAGCAAAGTCAATCTGTGCAATGAAAAATAAATGCTTGGTAACGAATGCCCCTGGGAGTGGATTTGTCCACCGTGTGTTTCCGATTCCCAGTGATGATAACGCAGCCACCTTACAGAGTGATGGGGAGGGATGAGTAAAATTTTGTGCAACACTGTAAAAATGCAAAAGGGCTGGCTCAGTCACAGCCTGGTCAGCTCAACAGTTGTTTTTAACTTGTTTTGCATGCAAAACTTCATTCGAGGAGTGTTAGGAAGCAGGCAAATTAAAACTGCCATTTTCCTCCCATTGTTGGCGTGGCATCAGCTTCCCCTCCCTGGGCCTTTGCCGCGTTATTTCTGCCACTGGCTCTGCTCGCTTGTAAACGCTACCCATGTGCTAAAGCACCTCTGTATGATGAGCAAGATACCCTTCAAAGAAAAGGGCCCCATCTCCTTATGTCTTGCCTGTTAAAACGAACCGAGTTGTTCTTTAGATAACCTTTAAAATTTACAGACAATAATTTAAAAATTGGCTCATTCCAGGTAAAGCTGCTGTTACCTCCAGGCAAAGAAGGCCCAAGAGTCTTGAATGGCAGCCCACAGCAGGAAGAGGAGAGACTGGCTGGCGGAACAGGACAGCAGTCAGGTATCGCCTGCCTGGCAGTTAAGAGAGGTGGAGTGTGGTATTTTGGGTTGGTTGGACATTTAAGTCCTTGCTTAACAGAACATTAATTAGGAATTAACCAACTATATAATTCACCAAAACTGCTGAACTTACCCTGTACCCGCCAATGTTATTTTCAAATCAGCTGATCTGTATTTATGAACAAATCCCTAGGCTGTTCAGTTTAATTTGGGAACTATTCTTTAAATATTGATATGATGAGCCTTATATGGTGAAGTGCATGATTTCAGTGACTTATATGTAAAGACCAGACATGAAGATGATGATCAGAGTGTTGTCTCAGGTGTCTCCTCGTTAGACCAGCTCAATAATTATAAAAGTAATTACTCAACTAAATCCAAAGTAAAGCTGATAGCATTGACCCGATCATTCACGGACCAAAGGAGAAAACTGAAAATGTTCAGCGTGAACTGAAATGCTGAACTTGAGACCACAGCACATATTGGCAACATGTCGGGCTTCCCACCCCCACGCCCCACTTCGTTCCAGCCTTTGTGGGAGTGTAGGCCTCGGATCAGAGCAGGGGAAACGTGCTGCTCCATGTTCCAGGAGGAGAGAGAGCTCCCAAACCCGGATGCTCCTGCAGCGGCAGCCCCTACAGTTTTTTATCACCCTGACCCCTAATTAGCTGAAGGCAGCGAAATCTGTTTGCATTATTGCCTTTTTAAATTGGCAGCTTTTTATTTCAGGGGACTTTGACAGATGGGAACTGATTCAAGCACAAGAACTTCACAGTAAATTCAGAACAAAACCAAACTTGCAGCAGCTGAACTCTGATATCAGTGACATCACCACTTGGCTGAAAAAAACTGAAGCAGAGCTGGAAATGTTAAAGATGGCAAAGCCCCCCTCTGATATCCAGGAAATGGGACTCAGAGTGAAGAGACTGCAGGTGAGTTAGAGGTGTGGAGAGGAAGAATTATTCCACATGTGAATGCATTGCTGTGCTGGACAAATACATCAAATCTGTTAGTGGCGTAGCTGCAGCTTGCAGATGGGGTATGGTAGAGGTCAGTCTCTTCCATATCTCTTCTGTAAGTGGCAAGGACACAGATGTAGATTTTTATTTTTATATAGAAGAGTATCTACAAATGATCCCAAAGCCCAGAGCAGCAGTGGGGAAGTGTGACTCAGATCCCCAAGTGCTAGAAAGATCTGACTTCCGAGGCACCTCTAGACTTTTATGGAGGTGCTGGGTGGCCATTGTCAGGAAGCTAGAAACCACCCTTCCTAACTGTATGCAGCAATTCTGGGCAAGACTAGGAGTGGAGGCTTGCTTGAAAGGGCCGAGGTTGGGGAGGACAGACTCACCTACTGGTGAGTCCTGTGGCCTGACCTGGTTACCCATTGCATGCAGTTGGGATTTGTCACCCACATAATCCACCCTGGCCCCACTGGAACTAGCCTTGGGCACAGCAGAGGGACAGTTTGAGCCTTGCACTTTGGGGGTGCCCTGAGCATGAGCCTGAGCCTGAGCCTGAGCTCCTAAGACCCAGGGCAAGAGTCCTGACGTATCCAGGCACTCTTTATATTTGTACTTTCATTTTACTTTATGCATTAAAATATCAGAGGTTACTGTTCATCCTAAGGGATAGCATTTCTGGGCTATCTCGGGGCAAAGCAGGATAATTACATATACTTTCTCCGGAAGACTTTTAATCTGGTCCAGAAACGTTATCAAGCCAATTGCAGAGCAGGGGCTACAGAGGTCTGCAGGGTCAAGTTGGCCCAGCAGAAGGCAGGCCTCTGCCTGGGGCCCGGCCGGCCAAGTTCACTGACCTTGTGCGGCGGCTCCTCACCTGATGCTTCCCAGCCAGTCACAGGCGAGCTTGGGAGGGCGTGTGGAAGATCCGATCCCTACTGAAGTTCAAGATGAGCCCCTCGTCCCTATTTTCAGAGTGCCTAACCCGATCCTCTCCCTCCGTGGTAGGAGATATTAAAAGCCTTTGACACCTACAAGGCGTTAGTGGTCTCTGCCAACGTGAGCAGCAAGGAATTTCTGCAGACTGAGAGCGCCGAATCCACAGAGCTCCAAAGTCGACTCCACCAGCTGAGCCAGTGCTGGGACGCGGCACAGGGCGCGGTGGACAGCTGGAGAGAGGGCCTACGGCAGTCGCTCATGCAGTGCCAGGTACGCTGACTCGGCACTCAGCTGCCCCGGCCGGCCGCAGCCAGGCCCACGAGGCGGGAGCAGCAGATATTTTTATCTTCGGCAGGCTGCACTGGCGCAGCCAAATGTGGCTTGTGTCGGGAAACACGCATGCTTTACCATCTGCTCCCAAAGAGGCCCACCTGCCGTCTCAGACCCAGTGCTTGCCCGCTCTGCTGCCCAGGCCCATGCCCACTTGGAGTAAGGGCTCCGGCAAGCAGGCTGTAGGTCAGAGATGCCGCCCCACTACTCCCTGTCTCTGTCCTTTTGCCAGAGGGATTAAGAGTCCTGGCCCTGGAATAGAGGAGCCATTTAACCCTGCTCTACCACTTACTAGATGTGTGACTTTGGGCAAACCATTGAACCTCCTAGACCTCGGGATTCTCATCTGAAAAATGGGAATCATTTGAATGCCTACCTCACAGGGTTCTGTTTAGGTCTAAATGAGGTGGTGTGTATAATCTTAGCCCAGCACTGCCATGTGAGTACACGCTCAGCTTGCATTAGCTCCGACCCCATCTTAGGGAACGGGAGCCCACCACAGCCTGTCCACCACCGAGTCCAGCAGGTTTGTCGAGTAACATCTGTGGTCTTCATGTGTAAACTCAGGTCATCCTGAAGCCCCCCTTCCTGCTGGCATGTTTCATGTGCTGCCCCGTGGGATGGCACCAAGCGTGCTCACTGTCCTTCCCTGCCTTCCCTTTCCCTAGTTTTGGGTCCCTGGCATTTAACTTAAATCTGGCCCTTTTATGCCTGGGACAAGGCAAAAAGAGCACAAGACAGTGAAGCAGCGAGCTGCCCTGCAGCACGCTCCTTCCAGAGTTCTAAGAACAGGCAATGCTCTGACGTGTGCTGTTTTTTAAGGACTTCCACCAGTTGAGTCAAAGTCTGCTACTGTGGTTAGCAAGTGCTGAGAACCGGAGGCAGAAGGCTCATGTCACTGACCCAAAGGCAGACCCCCAGGCTCTCCTGGAGTGTCAGAAGGAACTCACGGTAAGTTTCTTCCCATGGGGCTCTGCACTGCCACCAGCCTCTGTCAGCTCCAGTGGGTCAGGGTACTCGGGAAGCCTCACCTACTGCTTCTGTGAACAACAGTACTAGCGGTGTTTGTGACACGTGACATCAGCCCTCCTCTTCCTCCTGGGCGGCCCTTTGTAGTTCTGAAGCAGAATGATTTACAGGGGTGAGGAGCCACAGTCCTGAGCAAGACGTCTTCAAGATGCTGAGGAACAGGGGACATAGGCGTTTGTAATATCCTGAAAGACTTAAGGCCATTTGACTAGAAGTATGTTTTCCCTTGTGAATACTGCTCACCTGCGGGGACAGATGGTGCCCGTTTGCTCTGCAGCCGTGAGCTGTGTGGGTTTTCTGTATCCATTATAGAAATGTCTGTCTTATTGGAGGAGAGTTGTGTCTTCATGTATTTGTCACTGACAAACTAAGATGAGATCTATATATTCTCACTTATGCTCAAGGTGACATTTCTATCCATGAATTTGTATTAATGTGTGGCTTAATTTTAAATATTTTAAATTTAATCAGAGTGCTGGCCATTGTTTAAAAAACATATTTTGGTACTGAAATCTTTGTAAAGCCCCACTCTCTAGATACCAGATTGGACAATGAGCAAGAAAACCACCCTTAATAATTGAAGCTGATTGGGCTGGGACGTACCTCCGTATTTCTAAGTAGTGTGGTTATGCTGCTGTTTCTCAAATGATCGACTAATTTAGAGTTCCTTAACTTCCCGCCATGGTGGATGAGGGTCTGGTCTTCCCACACCATCCCCTTCGCTTCTTTCCTGTAATCTCTCTGGCATCACAGTTGTCGTCAGAGTGAAAGGGAATGAAAAATTAGGGGTGGGACATGACCTCCTTGCTATCTAAACAGTGCTGGGCCGCAGGGCACAGGCAGATAGGAGAAGTAGAAGGTTCTGAAGTCGAGCACAGCCCAGTGTTTGTCCTGGAATTCCCCGCACTGAGAAAACATCATTTGGCCACGCTAGCTTCCCTTTTGACGAGTAACTGACACACTTTTTTTATTTTCAGCAACTGGAAAAGGAGCTAGTGGAGCGTCAACTGCAAGTAGACTCCTTACAGGAGATTTCAAACAGCCTTCTTATTAAGGGGCAAGGAGAAGACTATATTGAGGCTGAAGAGAAGGTCCACGTTATTGAGAAGAAACTCAAACAGTTACTGGAACAAGTGTCCCAAGATTTAATGTCCTTGCAGGGAAGCCAGGTGAGTCCACTTGTGGCTTTTGGATGTCACATTCCATGTGGGCAGAAGGCAGTGCTGTGGCCTTCGTGTCACTGACGTGTGGTGAGCTCACCGTCACCCGAAGCTGTTGCTGTGGCCTCTCGCCGCTGCTGAACTCATCTCCTCGCTGTTGGCTACAGGTTTTTAATGCAAATGGTTGACCTTGCTTTGTTTGCGTTCCCACTTGTCTGAAAAAAAATCTGTTAAAGCGGGGGGGGTGAGAGCAACAGAAGAGCCCCGTCCTCAGGAAAGATGTGGGGCGGGGGCGGGGGCGAGCTGCACCGTGAAGAATCTGCATGAAGCACGTTTCTGTGCTCTTGAGACTATTCAGAACCTTCTCTTTCCCTGAACTGAACCTTTGGAGTCTGAATTTCAGAACCCAGACCCATCTCTGCCCGGCTTAGACGAGGTGGACGCGGGGGACCAGCCTCCAGCAGCATCCGTGCCAGCTCCCCACGCGAAGGTGAGAGCCCCTTCCTTCTGTGAGAACTTTGCCGCTTGTTTTTAAAAGTTACTCAGATGATAGGAACTTGGGACTCCAAGGCCCCATCAGACATTTCGTGACAGCATGGATCTGCTCTAACCTGCTGGTCAGTGGGGAGGCTTACTCCAAAGATCTCGTTATTAAAATACTCTTCTTAAAGACTTAACTCAAAGGCCCTCTTCTAGTCAGGTCCTCTCCTTTGGGATCATAGCAGGTTGTGAAAGAGCACTTGTCGCGTTGTCGAAGGGGCTTCCTGATGTCTCCATCAAAATCAGATCAGTGAACTGGACCGTGAAACTCTCAGTAGTTTAACAAACCCTATTATTTTCTGCCTCATAGAGTTTAATCTCAAACGTATTACTCTGGTCTCAAAAGTTTGGGGCTGAGCACAGTAGCTCACACCTGTAATCCCAGCACTTTGGGAAAGGCCAAGGTGGAAGGATTGCTTGAGCCCAGGAGTTGGAGACTTCAACATAGCAAGACCTCATCTCTAAAATTAAAAAAAAAAAAAAAAAAAAAGCTAGGTGAGGTGGCGCATGCCTGAAGTCCCAGCTACTGTGGAGGCTGAGACGGGAGGATCCCTTGAGTGCAGGAATTCCAGGTTACAGTGAGCTGTGATCTCTCTACTGCCCCTCAGCCTGGGTGACAGAACGAGACCCTGTCTCTTTAAAAAAAAAAAAAATGCAGGAAGACAACCTAAGAGAGGTATATGATTTAAGGAAGGATGTTTATCATTCACAAGTCTAAACTGTACTAAATTTGCTAATTGGATTTTTTTAATCCAGCAATTCAGGGCGGAGAGAACTACAGAAGGCGAGGAGGAGGCAGAGAGCAGGTAACGTGGCCTTACGGTCGCAGCAAGTTCCCCTGCCCCACCCCCACTGCACCAGTCTTGCCCGTGCCCTGATCAAGGGCCTTGGTCTGGAAAGGGCTGGGCTTCTCTTCCAAAACTGAACCCCAGCCTGGCCCCATTTTAATCCTGGATTTCTTATTTATGTCAGCAGGGGGTCAGGTAACGGGAGTGGGTCCCCCTGCCCCGCCCCCAGCTCCCCATCAGCTCTAACCTTCTGTGTTGGCAGGGTGCCCGGCGGGGCGCGGCCACAGCGCTCCTTCCTCTCCCGGGTGATCAGGGCGGCACTGCCCCTGCAGCTGCTGCTCCTGCTGCTGCTGCTCCTGGCCTGCCTGCTGCCCTCCTCCGAAGAAGACTACAGCTGCACTCAGGCCAACAACTTCGCCCGGTCCTTTTACCCCATGCTGAGGTACACCAACGGGCCGCCCCCCACATAGAGGGCTGAGCCGGCCGCAGCGCCACACCACCAGCCTGACTGCCTCGGGTGCCCAGCTCGTGGCCCCAGACCAGTCTATGAGTGACTCTCAGCGTTGGCAAGGTCCAGGGACCTGCTGCACACGCCTCCTTCTGGGCTTGTCCCTCCGGAGCCCACGGCAGCTTTCAAATGAAGTTCCTCGCCAGGGGGGCAGGGGACCTGGGCCGCAGTCACCCCGGGCATTCTGGCAAAGCTAGTTGATTGGTTTAGGGATCTCTGGAAATGACAGTTTCCTGAAGATCCAAGCACTTTGTGATTTATTTGTAAAGCAGCGTTATTATGATGTAGTTATTATGGTCAATGAGCAGTTGTGTTCATGGCATACTATATATTATAGACCCAGGCAAGCAGGTTTCACCTTAGAAATGGTCCAGCACCTCATACGCACCCTTAGCTGATTGATCGAAACAATCATATTGAGAATCAGTTTTTTACTCTGATCAGCTAGCAATTTTCAGCTATAGGTTATAAACCAAAATGTTCTGTTCAGTACCTAGGTCTGCTCTTTTATACTGCTTTAAATTTTTAAAGAAATTCTATTGCATGGATGTGGTTATTTGTGCATATTTTTTAACAATGCTGACTCTGTATGAATAATGTAAACTTTGATTTTTTTAAAGAAAAAAATCAGATTTTAGCCTGAGCTTTTGACTAATGTACAGTAAATGCCAAACTACAGATTGATAGGGATGTTTTTGTAAGTTAATTTTCTAAGACTTTTTCACATTTAAAGTGCTGCTTCAGGTTTTGTTTAGGTCTTTGGCCACGGGGAATTGGTCCAGAAACTTGAAGCTGTTTTGTGGTATGTACAACGCAAATGTTTCTCATTAAAAAACAAAATTAGCCAGACTTCTGTTTTACTGGATTATATTACAAAGCAGTCCAATGGTATGTTTAGTCTTCTGAAGAACAAAAACTATTTTAAAAATATTTCGGGGGGCTTTTGATTCTAAAAGTTTATGTTCTACTTATTTAACTTTTACAGGATTTCTTATGCGATCTAGAAACCCATAACCTGTCTGGAGAGAGGACCCTTGGATATGTGTAAATTACTCAGTGTGTGACCCTCAGATGCTGTAGGGAACAATGAAGGCAGCACGGCACGGAAAGGGAAGGATCATTGCACCCAGTTTTTTCTATTCCCAGCCTTCTCCAGAGCCAATTAACGGCTACCCAGGTGTCTAACAAATGTCACAGGCAAAGCCACCTGCTTTCCATGCAATTCCAGTACCACTGTCTAAACATCAGTGTTTCCCCTTTCTTGATCAGACATTACTGGTCCCAGTTCCTAATCTGTATCTCTTAGCACCTGGGAGGCCCCTTCTCCCCATCTCTGCAAAGCACGAACCTCAGGGGAAGCCAGTGAAGCTGTCAGTGGAGAAGCCACCTCCAAGGGCTGTGCGGCTAACGCAGGTCAGGAGCAGCTTCAGGTGAAGAGAATCTGTCTTGTCTTTGGTGTTTGAACTTATGAAGTTGTTGGATTGACAGAGAAAGGTAGTTTTTAACACATAACTTCAAACTCTTTAAAATAATTCATCTTTTTTCATGGACTAAATAGATTTCGGTATAGAATGTAGACACTAGATACTTAGCCTAATTACTGTATGTTCTTATGTTCCACTCCCAACAAATACATTTTGAAAGCCAAAATCATGAAAATCACTTTATTTATGTGACATTAAAAGAAGACAAGAAAAAGCACTACCTGGAGGAAAAGAAAGCAGTTCTCAAAAATCTGCTTTCACACAACAAACATTCATTTCTCAGAAGTCCCAAATTTAAAGGGTGTCACAGGGAGGCCCCACTTAAGCCACAGCAGCCATGCATGTTTGGTTGCATTTGATGAACAAATTCTGCAGTTTAAAAATTTGTAACATTTTTTTAACTAGTTGAACTGCATGATCACTTTCAGCACTGGACTTGGATGGCTTGAGTCCAGCTCTATCACTTAGTCTCTGTGTGACCTTGAGCAAGTTTACTTTAGATTCTCTGTAGCTTCCACAGCCAGAAAATTAGGATAACAGTAATTGTTATGAGGAATAACTGTGAGTGTCTGAGGCACTGAGAACTGTGTCTGGCACAAATACTATTTTTAGGTACTATTTTCTTTAAAAGATTTTTAGCAGCTTAAAGAAATGTGTCAAATCTTATTAGATAAAAATGTTTTGTTTCAAAATAGACTAGAAACTGAAGGTTCACCTTGAATTTGAAAAGGCATCAACATATGCAAAGCCCCTTAGCTGTAAATAAGAACCTAAC